ATTACATTCGATTAAATGTAACAGAGGTTAACGCGGTTCTGATTAGCATGTGATCCAGTTTTCCTCCTATCCGATCCATTCCCTTTTCTTTTCTTCATTCCGTGATTATTAGAAGATCTCGCACGTCCCTATAAATCTTCATCCGACTCTTTCGTGTGTCCGGTTATCTTTCTCTCTCTCTCTCTCTTTCCTTCTATTCACTCCACGTATACATCCTTCCTCGTTTCGTCTCGCGCGCGCAATCTCGCTCCTTTATCCCTTTGTCATCGTCCTGTTCACGTCTTCACTTCCATCCACACTGTCGGTTCGCGGTAATTTCTCTTCTCTCGACTCTCTCTCTCTCTCTCTCTCTATCTTTATCCCTTTAACGACGTTGTCCTCTTCCATTTTTGGTACGAGCAACTTGATTAACACGACAGAAAATAAGCGTCATTGCTGTATGAGTGGGGAGGGGCGAGTAGGTGTGTATGTATATGTGTATGGCTGGGCGTGTATGTGTGTGTGTGTGTGGGCGATTTTTCGATTCTTCTTTCTTTTTTTTCTTTCTTTCTTTTTTTTCCTTTTCCCTTTCTTTTCGAAGGTGTACGTGTGTATATGCATGTGTATGTGTGTACGGGGGAGGAGGTAGTGCTGGAAACAAGGTATTAACGACCCTGAGAGAGATGAGACCTCTTTGGAAGTTCCACTCCTCGGGGATCTCTCAACCCTGCGGCGACGTCTGCGGCGAGATCTCGGTGTCCCCGTCGCCCGAGCCAGGTGTACCCTTCGACTTATTCTCCTTCTTCCATTTCATCCGTCTGTTTTGAAACCAGATTTTGATTTGCCGCTCGGTAAGGCAGAGCGCGTGCGCGATCTCGATGCGACGCCGCCTGGTCAGGTATCGGTTGTAGTGGAACTCCTTCTCGAGCTCGAGGGTTTGGTATCGGGTGTACGTTTGCCGGCCTCGTTTCCTCTCTGGAACACAATGCGCGAGAGAATCACGGATTCCCTTCGTTAGTCTCGTGTTTCTTCGTTAATTTTTTGTAATATAATATATTTATATATTATATTATAGGCTGGTTCAGAAATAATTATTTGATATTTTCGCGAATCCCTGACAAATAAATAATTACTGTAGCTTGAAAAGAATATAATATAATAATAATAATCATTTGCATGTACTTGTGAATTATCCTATATATTTTATAATATATATATATTAATATAATTTAATATATATATATTTAATAAAGTAATAAAGAGTAAATGGAAATTTCAGTTTCATCAAGGAAGAGATTGGATCAATAATAATTATTTGCATGTATTTGTGAATTATTCTACATGTCACAATAAAGTAATAAAGAGTAAATGGAAATTTCTTTCATCAAGGAAGAGGTTGGATCAATAATAGTCATTTGTATGTATTTGTGAATTATCCTATGTATTTTATAACAT